ACTTGTGGATATTTTTTAAGATTTTTTCCCTTTGACCTCCTTATTTTTGGTTAGGAAACAAGCACTGTTTAGTGCTAATATTAGGAGTAATGGCCTACAATTCCAAAAGGGATGAGCAAAAAAGGGTTGCAAAACCCTTTCAGTGAAATTGTTTGCACTGCTTTGTTTTCACTGCTCTTTGTTATGCATTTATTCCACCTCTCAGGTCTGTTTATGTTATTTCCTACCACTCAAGGAAGGTATATTGAACACATATTGCCACTGCTGCCTGTGTGCAGTGGCAGGACAGATGACAGCAAATCTTCATACCTTGTGCAGCCTAACTGCTAGACATGGCAGAGCTAGCTTGGTGGCTTTTTTTTGTCTGGTATGACTACCTAGCATATGATCTTTTACCCAAAAAATTACTTTTTTTCTGAAATGCCACCTTATTCCACTTTGTGCTGCATAAATCATCTTATCCCTCTTTTTATGGGAAAGCAATTTTCAGTTTAATTTTCTCTCCTGTAAAATGGGAGTAATGATTTTCACAAACTCCTTCAGGCCTCATGGGGTCAGCTGTGCTGCTGTCTCACTTCTCTTGTGCTAGAAAGTTTTTTTCCAGTTATCCCTGAAAATATTTCTTCCTTTTCTGAGCTCTGCTGTTCCACATCTTCCCCTGGCCTGTGCAGCATTTCAGGCCACAGACTCTTTTGGTACCCTGCAAGGGATGTGCTGTGACATGGGGACATTTCTAGGGGAAGAAAAATATAAATATTACCTTCTTCCTCTCTTCTCCCAAAGGCTCTTTCATTAACATTCCTATGATATGTCTTATTTAGCATATTCATGGTTTAAGCTCCTTGTGTCCATTATAGCTTTGTAAGGACAGCAATGAAACTTTTTACATTGTATTGTGAGAACATTACCTGGTGGTCATTTTGGTAGGTTCAGTGCAAATCCTGTGTTGTGAGGGTGATACAAAGATCAAAGTTGATAGCACAGCCAGTGAAATCAGGAATGGGATACTTGATTTGAGTAAGATCCAGTAGCTTTCCTTGGATTGACAGTGTCTCTTCTTGAAAACTTGTGTCTTGTCTTCCCAGGCTGAAAGGGTAGATGAGATATTTCCGTCTAAAATTTTTGCCTCAGTCAGGGATGTGTCAGAAGCAGCAGGTGCAGGATGGTCCTGTGGAGATAGGAAATACTCCCTAGAGACAGGTCAGACTTTCCCACTGTTGCTGATTTGTAAGAGCTGCTTGATCTCTTGTTAGGAAATAAAAGGCAGATTAAGAAATACAGGACAAACCTTCCTGTGCTGTCCTGGCTGACAGAAGGAAAGACCTGACTATGAAGTTTTCTTTATTTTTTCTGTCTTCTCTGTCTTTAGATTAGGCTGAGACCCTATAAAAATGTGTCTCCATGGCACACAGCTCAGCAGGGCTCGGCCCATGAGGAGAGTTTATTGGCATCACAGTGAGCTCCATTACAGTTTAACTCTCAACTATAAACAGCAAGACCCTGTGTGAAGGATTTGACTTTAAACTAGCACCAAGAACCATTTTACTTTGACTACTCTTCAACTCACCTTGAATTGCTGTTATGAACCTTTGAGTTTGTCCATCCTAACCTTTCTCTGTGGCCTCCCATATTGTACCTAACCCTGTTGCTGTCCTCTTGACAGCAATAATGGTTTTAGCATTAGCAAAGACAAGTTGCCAACCAAAAAGTGTTTGCCTACCTTGAGAAGGATTAGGCAGTGCATCATTTCAGGGAACAGTGGCTGACTACCCTATAGAAATATCCTTGTTGTACCAAGCAGCCTTGACTTCAACAGAAAAGCCACAAATATTTTTATGTGACTGAACTCTGGTAAAGAGAATTATTTGTCCTGTATTTTCTGAAAGGTAACTTCTTGGCTTATGCCTCTGTGGAAAGATTTCAATTGCTGAATTCTGTTTAGAAAGGCTGCAAATTTGGGGCACAGATTCATGGGACTTGCACGTGGAAGGATCATCATAGTTAGAAAGGCTGCAAATTTGGGGCACAGACTCATGGGACTTGCACATGGAAGGATCATCATAGCAAGCAATGAGTAAAGTAATTAAAGTTCCTGACCTGGTGCTGCCAGCCTGGGTCTGATCATAGGTCATGCAATACTTTCACATTTTTTTTAATACATCTTTAGTAGCAGTAATGAGATTCTTATTGATTTTTGTGGTGCTTTGTAATCTTGTCTTTTGGAGGTGTTTAGTATTTCTAAGAGGAACTAGTCCAAATAATTTCTAACAAAATTGCATTTGGTGGCAAAATGAGGGTATCTGTGCTGCAAGAAACGCTCTATTGAAATACCTGCTTTGAAGGAGAAATTAAAAGTAATATTTCTATGCCTTTGGGGTTCCTGTAGTTGTGCCATGTGGCAGTTGTAGTTCACAATATAAGAGCTATGCCCTTCTCCTCTCTCCCCATCTTTTCCACTCCCTTTCACTCCCTCCTTTGTTTTACTCTGTCCTATTCACTTCACCTCTTTTCTCCTCATCTCCAGCATACCTGAAAAAGATGAAGCTCTTTGCTTTTTTTGACAAGCATTGGGTTGTTCTGTGGCATTGTGCCCTGCAGTCCCCTCCTGTGGAACTGCCCCTCACTGCTGCTACAGGACACAGCCTGGGGACAGCACCAATTCTGCAGAGGCAGGAGCAGACACCAAGGCAATAATACAGGAAGGCACCCTGAATAGAATCACAAAACCAAGGTTCATTGTAGGAAGATTCAATTAGCTCTTTAAACACAGAAACTGTGATAGAACATACTGTACAAAACAGGCTCACTGCCAGGTATTTATAGGCAATGCATTGCCCGTTCCTGCTCATACAATTAAGGTAACTGAGATTCAATAGTCACAGCTGCATAAAGCAGCTTTCTTATCCTACCTAGGTCAGCATGAAATAAGACTGCATTCAGTGCTAGCTTAGAAATCATCCTTTTTTTTTTTTTTCTTTCCTGACATGAAGAAATGAGAAATTGAACACAATATGTTCCATTTTGGAAACACAGAGGCTTGTTTTAAATTCTGTCCAGGAGAGAAAGAACTCAGTGCATCCATTAAAATCCAGACCTTAAAGATGATCAGATTAACCTCTTCAAGCACTAGCTTTTGATAAAGCTTTGGGTTTAGCCAGCATGATAGAAATATGAGCATTTTGGGAAGAGTTCCAAACTGAGGCTGTTGTCATAACTGGTCTTCATAAAAAATATGCTTCATTTTAGCTCTTTTTCCACATCAGCTGGGAAAACCTGCTGGGGTTTGGATACATTCTGGGATTCTCTAATCAGTGGCTGAAATGTTTCCTCTTTCTTCTAGTTGCACTGTCCAACATAAATGGCTTATGACACTTCAGTGCTGTGCCAGTCTTTCTCTCCTTGAGGATTATCCCATGGAAAGAAATTCTGCCCTTTCCTTTCCCCTCCACACAAACACTGAGGATCTGTTCAACATTCAGTGCTTCAGAAGTGAAAACACTGTCATACCCAATGTCCCTGGATTTCTGCACTGCTCAGAGCTTACCTTGCCAAGATACACAATAGAGACTTCCCTGCATTGTTTTCCATGCAGTAACTGGTTTTATAACAAGCTTTGTGGGAATTGCATCAAGGAGCCTCTTTCCAGTTTTCCCTCTTTACGTTTTGTCTTTATGGCATTTGGTTACATAAGCCATATAACCTTAGGAAGGACAACACAGACAGCCAAAGTAGCACTGATAAGGTATGAGTACCCCAATGGTGCCAGAGTATCCTGGAGAATCACACTGAGTAACTCTTTGTTCTTCTCCAGTGTTTTTCACTCAAGGACCCTGGCAGGATTGGCCAGTATTAAATAATCCAGTTTTGTAACTCTCCTCTCACAAAACAAGCTCAATTATCTATAATTCCTAGTTTAGCAAAGGACGAAAGGAGCTTCACACAGACATTCACAGCAAGGTAGCAGTATAGCCAAAAATTAATTCCAAGTTTTCCAGTCCTCTGCTCCCTGCTGCCCTTGTTCATGGACCCCATCCCGAGCTTTGACCTTTCTTCCATCCCTCTCTTTTTAAAAAGCAGAAAATACTCTTGATGCAGTGGTTTCCCAGTTCAAGGAGAGTTTCCCTTTAGATTTGTTCATGTGCTGCTTTACCAGGGAGGAAATCCAATATGCTCATTAAAGGGAGAGTCTCGGAGTCAGTTTAGGCTGTAGTTTTAGCTCTACTTTACCTTGATTTGGTTTTGTTTCTCCACCTGTAAAATGGAGCAGTGCTCAGTGATCCATGTCACAGAATGTTCCTAAGCCACTTGAATTTGTGGGAAATACCTTGAAATCTTAAGAAAAGTGCAAATAATTAATTCATTATTAAATCCATCATCCTACCAAATCCTCTCTTTGAAGGAGACTTAATCCAATGTTTTATTACTATAAAAGCAATTATATTACTGCCTTATCAGTCATGTGAATTGAATGTTTCTTTTCCTTCTTTTCCTGCAGTGCGGATGGTCCTACCTCGGAAATCATGCAGATTGATTTTGAGATTGAAGACCTAACTGAGCTGCCTGAGACCCAGATCATCACATGGCAGGTAGAATACCCAGGAGATACAACATCTGACCTTGGCATCTCCAAGATCTATGTAAGCCAGAAGGATCTGGTAGGAGTTCTCCCTTTGGCTATGGTAAGAAATTGTTCGGCATTCTGCAAGTTATTATTGTTGCTTTATAACTCCAGTGTCTGACAGGTGCAAATGATCTGCTGAAAATGGAGGGAGAGACAGAAAATTTCAGTAATTTGAGAAACTGGTACTGACTGGTGAAGTTTGCTTCATTGAGTGGTGGAACCACATGAGAGGAGACCACAGCTCCCCATGGAAGGCCAAGTCATGCTCTTTCACCGATACATCGACTTCTTGGAGGCAGAAGCTGAGTTCAGGGCACTTGCATTGCTCAGAACTCACTCTGGATGCAGGGAGAGGTGCACTTGAGCCCTCAGTTCAGTGTGGTGCTTGTCTGACTTGAATCATGAGTACTCTAACATTTGGTCTAGACTCCGTGAATGACAGTTCTTCCAGTTTTTGAATTCTGACTCCATTTGGGAGTGGGAATAGAAATTAAAATCATGGTGTGATTCCTGAGTAATTTTAATTCCCTAGGGAGCACAAGACTCAGTACACAGACAACTGTCTGTTCTACGTAAATACATTCAAATGGGTTATCCCATGGCCACAGTGCAAACTACAGAGCTTGAAAAATACCTGATCCTTTAGCCTTATTCTTACCTACAGTAACCATTAAGATATCCAAATTCCAAATGCAAAGAGATATTTTGTGTGTTTCCTCTTCTCTCCCCTTCACATTTCCTCATTGTTAGGGATACAGCACAGTTGTCTAAGGTCTGGCTGTTGCCCACTTTTCTCCTGCTAGAATCTGTTAGAAAATATTGACACATCATTATTTAGTGCTGAAAGAAAACCAAAAATCAATCTCAGAGCATTTAAAAAATGTAACCTGGATGTTTGCCTAGTGATAGCAAGTTAATTATGCCACTAATGAAGACCAAAGGTGTTTTCTTCACTTCCAGGCTCACAGAACAGGCTATTCTTGTTATTTACCAACTACTCAGATGTTGTGATGTTTTATTTCACCAAAAACATTTCTTTTCTGTTGTGGTGGCTCATGCAGTCATTGCCAAGATGTGTGTCACACTTGAAATACTCTCTCCTACTGGTATTGTGGCCATGTAACAATAGGGAGTTGTGTAACTAACCCCTTTGCTTTGCATGACTGTTTTCCATGGGCTGCTCCTGCTGCTGAGCAGTGAGTGATCTCTGCTGGTGTGTCGATAAGAGAAGAGGCTTTCAGGTCTGCAGATAGGACCCTGATGTGCAGTCACATGAGTTTTGGAGTATTGAGCACTAAGGCTGCAGAGATGATCTGATTTACATAACCTGCAATGTTGGGAGGGGGTTTATTCACTCCATAATTTAATGAGAAGATAAAAGATTTCTCTTCCAATGCTTCCAATAGTGGCAGAAAACTGTAGTTCTTCTCATATATGCCCACGATCCACGATTGCTTTATTATCAAATGATATAGTGGCAAAAAATAGTTCATAAGAATAAAGATAGATTCTCCTGGTAGTTGCTACAAATCATCTCATTCTCTTCATTTGCATTATATGATGAAAAAAAAAAAGACCTTTTTCCAGAAGCTAAAAATTCTATGCTCAAAGGTCACATGAAGTCTATAAAGTTATCAGTAGGTGGCATTTTGCAAGGCAACAGGTGTTGGGATAATGGGAAAGAGAGAAAGCAAAGATTAATGCCAGGGGGTCCCTGAATTGCTGACAGATTGGGAATAGTTTTAACCTTCTTTGCATTAACTGGAGTGTCAGGGAAGAAACTCTGGGGTATCATAAATCTCCAAATCTATGTCAGACTTCACTTTGTGCTTAGGAAATGATGATTCAGGTGCAGACCTTTTGAGATGTCTAACTTAGATTAGTTTGATACTTCAGTTTTCCCTGTGGTCTTTGCAAAGCCGATTTGTAATTTGCAAATGGAAAATAAAATTTGAAAAAAACCCCCCCACATCTCTTCTTTCATTTAGGAAGAACCACAATTAAAATAAAGCATTATATTATTTCTCTGGTCTTGAAGACTGGAGGTAATTTGGGTTGGTTTTTTACTGATCTTCCTAGCAGAACATATAATTTCATGTTTAGAAGCACCAAAGAGAAATGCTCTCGAATATTTCCATTACAGGTTAATCTTTCAAAAGAACAATTTTAATGCTTTTGCACTAGGCAGAGCTTTGGTTTTTTAACAGACTTGCACATGCCACCTCTGCACCATCCTCGTATTCCATAATCCTTTTCTTCTTGCTATTACAGATTTGTAAATTGCAAAGCAGAAGATTGGCCAATTTAGAGCTTCCTGATTTCTTTTTTTTTTGAGTTGCAAAATGCTGCAATGAAAAACTTAAATGTACGTATTGGCATCGGGACACACTGGCATTGCCTACCTGCTGCTGAAGTTATTAGGACACTTTATCAAACTCAGCTCCAGTCTGGGCCTTGATGAGCCCCAGATGTCTGGAGTGCCTGACTTTCCTTCTTGTTGAGTACTTTGGGACAGCCCTTAGGTATGTTTATAATCTAGTCAGCATCAACCTAAAAATTTACGTTATTATTTGAGACCTGAAATGGACAGGAAGAAAAGATGGGATTTGAGACTTGATTAATGGTCCAGTGGTGAGGTTGCAGTCTGCTTGGCAGAGACAAGAACTCCAAAGACAACCTTCCATCCCTCCCAGCCATATTTTAGTAGGCAAAGGTGGATGGTGAACAGTGAATTACAGACTTGTATCAGCAGCTGAGCCTCCATTGCCTCTCTGGTTTTGGCCCATTATTTATTTTCTTCAAACAGTACAACATCAGCCTTCAAGACAGTCAAGTGAGGGTTGAGACAGAGAGAGATTTAAATCAAATGTAAAAAACCTCTGAGAAGAGACCCCTGATTTATGATAGGCTTAGAGTCAGTGACCAAAGTCCAGCTCATTACTTTGCAACAAACAGGTTTCAGTGAAGGCAAAGAATTATTCCCTCTCATCTGACCCTTCCAAGGAGCCCCAAAGGGGTGAGCTGTCCCTTTGCTTGGCTCTGTTCCTGCACAAAAAGCTGCTGTGGTACAGATCAAACTGACCTATTTTTAAGCTGCAAATGAAGGTGGTTTAAACAAACCTGGATGAGCTGTTAGGAAGAAAGATCCCATTATCCTTCATCTCAGGGAGGTTAGTAACCCTCAGGAAAGGACAGTGTTGGAGCAAAACAACCTTTTAAACCAGTACAATCATTTTTGCAAGGTCACCACAGCTGATATTGTATGAAACATAACAGGACATTTATTTCACAAGGTCAGGTTTGTAAACCAGCTGTAAAGAGCCAATTCCTTTATTTGTCGAACAGAAATATTTTACAATGCATAGCATGCAACAGACTTCATATTTAAGATTATATTTTGTTGAAAGTTCTGTTTTGGTGTGTCCTAGCAGTTATCAAGGCAAGATTGACTCTAAACTCATTCTCCCATTGCAGGTGAACATGCTCTTGTCCTCAGACCCATTACAGTCATTTTGGCTTGTGAGAAGTCATATTTATAGCAGTCATATTAAATAAATTGTATCCAAAACCTGAACACCAATTTAACATTATACCTTTTAGATAATTCATCGTTTCAACTTGCTCCTGATGTTCTTTATAAAAATTTAACGAATATGTTGACAGGAAGTAAACTGTTCTACATACCATCAGCATAAGAAGCTGTATAAATAGACCAGATAAATAAATCAAATCAATTGCTGCAGCGAAGAGGTTATCCATTATATAGGAAGCTTTTCTGTATTAAAATTATTTCTGATAATTACAGGGATCAGCTGTCATGGTAGTGCCAGTCGCTGCTGGATTTTAAAAATGCTTAGGGTATTAATGCCTTTATTAATATATGTATCTGAAATGTTTACTTTTTAGCTAGTGTTGTTTATGTTCTGTTAGAGACTGGATATGTCACTCAGACTTAGTTACCAGAGTGCTCAGTGCTGCACAAACATTTTTAACTATAGCCTCACCCTGAAGGACTTGGAAACCAAGCAGAGAAGACTAGTCATAAAACCATAAAGAAAATATTGGTCCTTTCCTGCAGCAGAGGGATGGGCAGTGTGCTGAAGTTCCTCCTGAAATCAACCAAATTGGTTTCTCCTAGACCAAGTTTTCAGCTTGGCCCTTTTTTCCAATGACAGGAGACGTGATGCAGGAACTGGAGCACAGACCTCATTGTGCAAGTGCTATCATTGCTGGAGCTTATCATAGAATCATAGAATCAACCAGGTTGGAAGAGACCTCAAAGATCATCCAGTCCAACCCTACCGTGGTTACTAGACCATGGCACTAAGTGCCACATCCAGTCTCAGCTTGAAAAACCTACAGGGATGGTGAATCCACCACCTCCCTGGGCAGCACATTCCAATGCCTGAGCACTCTCTCTGTAAAAAATCTCTTCCTAACTCTTCCTAATTCCTTCCTTATGGTCCACACAAAGATGGTGTAGCTGTCCCTGCCCCTTCCTTAGGCCCTCTCCTGTGCTCCAGAGCTGTGCCACTCCTCCTCAGGAGGGCAGGGTGCTGATGCTCTCTCAGGAGCAGCCCAGGAGCACCATGCAGGTCCCTACTGGGTTGGGGGAATAGGATAGTAGAGGCTGTTACAGCCTCCTCCTTGCTATCCACCATCTAATCTGACAATTTGGGTGCTTTTGGGTGAATCAGTGCTTTTCTGTGGGAGGGCTGAAATATGATTGTCCACCTGTGTGTATGATTTGGATGAACAAACTGATTACAGGGAGGATCTGCATTTGGCTGTGACTGGCTTGGGTTCTGCCTGGCAGCTGAGAAGTGCAGGATCACATCAACCAGAACTCACTGTCCTACTCAACTTCAGTGAGTGAATATTTCTAATGACTTCCACTGACAGTCAGCTTTATGAAAAAGAAAAGAGATGTCTAGAGAGTAGATAAAAGCTTTTACCTTCCTAATTCATAGCTTTTAAATTGCAATTACAGCATTCGGCAAGTTTTCAAATATTTAATTAAAACATTACCCAATTCTGAAAAGGAGAATTTAAATCAAA